GTGATATATGAAATAAATTACAAAGACCTAAACTTCTAGACATGAAAACTACAATATCTGAGATGAAAAATACACTGAAGGTGATAAAAGAGAAGAGATACTTCAGATGCAAGGAGTATTACCATTGAAGCCATATTAAAAAAAATCTATCAAGAAGTAAATGGAAAGAAAAAGGATTGAATGGAAAAAAAAACAACAACGGAACATTGGTAAAGTGTGGAACAACCACAAAGAGCTAAATATGTGGGTATTAGAGTTCCATAGAGAGGGAAGAATTGAGTAGATACATTTAAATATTTAATGGCAAAAAATAAGATAATAGTACAACAGCTATAAAGTACAGGAACAAAAAGGAAAGTCATGTTACAATCCTTCACTAAGAGAAAATAAATTTTAGAAAATGATGGCAAAATAAAGATTTTATACAAACATAGTTAACTGAAAAACTTCATCACAAGCTGACTTTAATCAAAGGAATTTTTAAGGCTGAGTATGGTGGCTCATGCCTGTAATCCCAGCTACTTAGTAGGCTGATGCAGGAAAATTAATGAACATGGGAGGTGGAGGTTTTAGTAAGCTGAGATCAGTCCACTGCACTCCAGCCTGTGTGACAGAATGAGATTCCATCTTAAAAAGAAGAAAAAGAATATTAAGCAGAAGGAAAATGATACCACATGGAAACCTGGATATATACAAGGAAAGAAAGCATATCAAAGATAGTAGCTTCATGAGTAAATATAATTTTTTTTTTATTATTTAAATAAATAAAAATATAATTTACAATTTACATAAAGGTTAAAGTATTGTGGGGTTTACAACATCTATTGAAACAAAATATAGGAGCAGTGCCAGAGAGCCAGGAGATGAAAGAACAGCAGGAGTCCATTGAGTTTGAAAGGCTGCTGGCGCAGGACTAGAAAAGGGGAGTGCAGAAAGTACTGGTCAGAGGACCTAACCACAGACTGCTGACTTGAGGCTGTGCTCCCAGGAAAGAGGAGGTGTCTTTAAAAATTGCCATTTTGGGTCTTCCACCAAGATGGCCGAATAGGAACAGATCTGGTCTGCAGTTCCCAGTGAGAGTGTGCCACAAGATGAATGATCACATTTCCAACTGAGGTACCAGGTTCATCTCACTGCGACTGGTTAGACAGTGGGAACAGCCCAAGGTGGGCAAGTAGAAGCAGGGTTGGTCATACCCCCACCCACGAGGCACAGGGGGCTGGAGAACTCTTTCTCCCAGCCAAGAGAATCCATTAGGGACCTTTCTGGGCAGTCTGGTACTCTGGCTCAGATACTGGGCTTTTCCCAGGGTCTACACGACCTACAGACCAAGAGATTCCCTCTGGCACCTACAACACCAGTGCCTTGGGTTTCCAGCACAAAACTGGGTAGCTATTTTAGTCAATTGGTACCTGGTATGCCAGTGAGACAGAACTGTTCATTCCCCTGAAAAAGGAGGCTGAAGCTAGGAAGCCAAGCAAGCTGGGTTGGTGGGTCCAAAAAGACCCACAAGCTAAGATCCATTCACAAACTTGAAATTCTTGCAGCCAGCACAGCAGTCTGAGCTCAACCTGGGACATTAGATCCTGGTGCGGGGAGGGGTGACCACCATTGCTGAGGCTCCAGTAGGTGGTTTCAACATTGCCTGTGTAAACAAAGCCACCACCGGGAAGTTTACAGAGCAGCTGGGCAGAGCCCAGCATGGCAGCTCAGCAAGGCCTCTGAAGTTAGACTGTTAAGTAGATTCCCTTCCTGCTGGGTAGGGCACCTCAGGGAAAAAAAAAAGACAGCAGCTGATCAGGTACTTACAAAGCCTCCACCTTCCTGGGAAAGAGCACCTGGGAAAAGGGGTGGTTGTGGGTTCCGCTTTAGCAGACACAAACGTCCCTGCCCGGCAGCTCTGAAGGAAGAAACAGATACTGCAGCATAGTGCTTGAGCTCCATTAAGGGACAGGCTGCCCCATCAATTAGAAAATTGAACAATGAATGGATGGAACAAAGAAAAAACAACAACAAATAACAGGATGGTAAATTTAAACACAACCATATCAATAATTGCATTACATGTAAATGGTCTGAACACAAAGACTGTCATAGTGAAATTAAAAGCAAGCATTAATACCTGGCTGCTGGTAAGGTATCTACTATATAAAGATGCAAATAGGTTGAATGGAAAAAGTGTAAGGATGTAAAAAGTGGGAGGAAGTAAATGGATATACCATGCTAATACCAATTAAAATAACACTTATGGGTGGCTATATTAATAGCAATATTTATTTGAAAACAAACAATAACAGAGATAAAGAGGATAAAGAAAGTGTGGCAAATTTATTAGGAAAACATAGAAATTGTAACTGTTACTTACAAGTAGCAGATATTTAAAATATATAAAGCAAAAACTGTTAAAATTGATAGCATAAATAGACAATCCCACAATACTAATCTCAAAATAATTGACAGACATGTAGATAGAAAATCAGTGAGCATACAGAGTACTTGAAAACTCTATCCATCAACATTTTGTAATTAACATTTTCAAGAACACTAAACAATTGGAGGATACACATTCTTATCAAGTGCTTATAGAACATTTACCAAGATAGACTATATTTTGGGCCATAAAACCAGTAAATTTACAATGATGTAATTCTTACAAAATATGTTCCCTAACTATAATGCAGATAAGACTATATTTTGGGCCATAAAACCAGTAAATTTACAATGATGTAATTCTTACAAAATATGTTCCCTAACTATAATGCAGATAAATTATAAATCAACAATATAAAGATATCTAGAAAATTAACAAATATTTGGAAACTATATAACACTTATGGAGAGCCCACTTGAAGTTATTTGTCTTTCATTTAAGTGAGGATATTTAACATGATTTTTCATTTGTTTCTAGCCACATTCCACTAGAGAATTGGATTTTAACTATGGTTGTGTTTTACTCAAGCATCCCACATGAAAAAAGAGTAACAAGATTGTTAGGGACATATACAATAAATTGATTGGAAAAAGAGATCTTGGACATTACAGAATACATAAAGGGGAAGACAAAACATAAAGAAAGAGAGCTGGAAGAACCCCCAGTGAGGATAAAGGGTAGCTGGCATGGGGATGGAGTTGGGAAGACTGCAGTAGTGGTCAGAGAGTAACTCTTGAAGTTTTTATTATAGAGAGATTGCAGTTATTACTACTGATAATTGTACAAATTAAAAAATAATTTCAGGTTGATAAATAAATGTATTAAGAAGGAGAAAAGGTGAAAATCTAGAGTGTAACATTTAAAATTCAGACAATAAAGAAGTGGAGAATGGAAGAATGTATTTATAAGATGTGTGACTAAGAAAGAAGCAGGTAACAGAAAATACGAAATCCAAAAATGTATGAATAAAAACAAGCACACTCATAGACATATGGACAAATAATAAGAATAAGCCACTCAAATTTAGAAATCTGAATTTATGTGCTATATCTATGGCACAAAAATTATGCTTAATCTCATTAAGAAACAAAGAAGGCATATTTAAGAAAATGAAATTCCTCTTATAGGCAAGAATTCAAAAGGTTATTTATCCCAATACATAGAAATGTAAGAATTCTCACATTGGTTGGAATATGAACTGCTCAATCACTTTGGAAGGCAAGTTGGTGAAATCTAGGGATGCAGAAGAGATGCATAGGTTATAAGCCAGCAATTCCAATTCTGGATAAATACTCAAACATGTATGTCACTGACTCTAATATTATTAAAAATGTGTAGAAACCATAATAGCCTTTAAAAGGAGAATAAGAAAATGAATGGAGGTATTGTTACACAACAAATTAAAACATTGCATTTGAATTAAATGAAGGAATATCAACATTGGGAGATTAAAAAAATAAGATAAAAATATAAGTTCAGCGTAATTCTGTTTACATTAGAATTTCAATGAAAATCAACTAATACAATATTAGAGTTTGCAGATATGTATAAATGTAGCTGTATAAAAACTACATAGTAAACACAAAATGGAGATCTGCTCTGGAAATAAATAAGAATGAAATTGCAAAGTACATGGGGAGTAAAAACTGACTTTAACTATTCTGTTTCATTTATTTTAAAAAAATCTTAAGAAAATATCAAAAATAATCACTTTTTTTACTGGTTGATGGATATAGACTAATTATCCTTATATTTGCCTTTATTTTTGAAATACGCCATTGTAAAAAGAAAGAATATTTGAAATGCCAGTAGAGCTTATTATCTGAATGTCCATAGAGGAATATTCAGGGACTACTATGACATCTGCATGAGCTATAGTAACTAATGAAATTTATGTTACTGACTCAAAATGGAAACAATTATATTGGTAGGGGACAATTTACACTTACAAATACAATGTGAAGTTTGGGTTTTCATGTGTGTCAACATCACTAGATATATCACTTGGCTGGTTATACTTTCTTTTTCTATGATACTTGTTGGAATTCACTTATACTACGAAACAATTTATCCTTAATAGTTTTAAATATTTTCTTAAACGTTATAAATGCAATATTTCATATAAAAAGTAGATTTTTGGCTGGGCACAGTAGCTCACACCTGTAATCCCAGCACTTTGGGTGGTCAAGGTGGGTGGATCACCTGAGGTTAGGAATTTGAGACCAGCCTGGCCAACATGGTGAACCTCATCTCTATTAAATATAGAAAAATTAGCTAGGTGTGGTGGTGGGAACCTAGAATACTTGGAAGCCTGGGGCAGAAGAATCATTTCAACTTGGGAGGTGGAGGTTGCAGTGAGCCAAGATCATGCCTTTGCACTCCAAATGCGAAACTTCATCTCAAAAGAAATAAAAAGGTGGATTTTTTTGGCAACAGATATTTATATAAGCACCTCTTTTAACATATTCACATTATTAATACATTGCTATTTTCTTTTAACATATTCACATTATTAAGACATTCCTATTTGATGTTTTTCAAATTCATCAACAATTATTTTATCTTAAAGCTAAGAATTGCCCGGGCGTGGTGGCTCAAGCCTGTAATCCCAGAACTTTGGGAGGCCGAGGCGGGTGGATCACGAGGTCAAGAGATCGAGACCATCCCAGTCAACATGGTGAAACCCCGTCTCTACTAAAAATACAAAAAATTAGCTGGGCGTGGTGGTGCGTGCCTGTAATCCCGGGTGCTCGGGAGGCTGAGGCAGGAGAATTGCCTGAATCCAGGAGGCGGAGGTTGCAGTGAGCCGAGATTGCGCCATTGCACTCCCGCCTGGGTAACAAGAGCGAAACTCTGTCTCCAAAAAAAAAAAAAGCTAAGATTTATAAAATATACAAGCCTATTCAAACTAAGTATTTCAAATAGTGATTAATGAATGTATTTGTAGAAATTGTGTAACAAGATACTTCCATCTGATTTGTAAAAAGATTTCAGTAAATAAAAGGAACATGTTGTGTATTTTGTTTGTTAATCTGTGTACATTCAAATAGTTGAGATAATCTTAATATTTAAAGGACAACTTCAATCAAAGGGAAAACTAAGATAATTTAACAATAAATTTCTTATTTCTTCAATGTTTTTGTTTCTTGAGATTATCTTCACTTTTGATTAATGTTTTTGACATTCAAGAGTTTCATTTAAGTTCTGATAGAAATATTCCTCATGTCAGCAATATTTCTTTTCTAAAAGTTTCTACACACATATACACAGAGCTGTCTCTCATTAAAGAAATGTTAGTAGCTGTTACTATCAACAGTAAAATATCTTTTGCACATTATTCATTAGAAAAATTTTTATATTTTAACCATTGTTAAGTAATCAGAATGACATTCATAGATGACTGGAAATATTTGAAGTGATATCTTCTATACTTAACAATTAATTTCTTGTGTTGCTAATGTAGGCTCAGTGATGCTAGAAAACTGCTTTAATTATTAAGATATTTCAAAACTGAGCTTGTACAGTCTGGACTCTTACTTCTCTCTGTTTCTTTCCATAATCATGAGCATTATTTTGGAAAGATTTTCTAATAAAAAACAGAGGTTAAGAAAAATAAGCACGAGTTTTATGATGCATTAGCATACTAAGAAATAAATTCAATATTTTGTGGAAGTCTTGGGAAGCCTTCTGTGATCTATGAATGGCTGCGGCTGTATACTCAGTGATATTATTCTAATTAGACAGGAAAAAATGTTTGGAAGAGCTTACAAAGATAGTTACTAATAGTTATGTGTCTGTTTTGATTTTGTGACTTGAAGGAAAATAGAAACAAAGTGGTGAAAGAAAGGAGATAATCAAAGGTTTCCATCAGCAAAAGTGATTAAATTTTCATCATTCCTGTGACATTGGAGAGGTTCTGGGGCTTGTCCTTATTCCAATAACCTATTTATTTCAGTTTGTGGGATAAAAAGACAAAGCCATTACCAATAACATTGGCTTCTTAATAACTAAGTAAAATGATCTAAATTCTGCCACCAGTGATGATAAACCAGATTTGAACTTCAGAAAGATTACAGCTTTATGCATTCTGGACACTCAGCCCTTCAGGGCTATCAAAGTGAGGGCAATCATGATAGTTATTCCCCAGCCTGTACCTGCATTTGTGAAGGTGATGTTTGAACCTAAGCAACCTCATTCATGGTTAAATTATTTAACCAACACTGTCTGGATAAAACTATTGAATTGGCCAGAAATATAATTTGTGCTTCAGTCTAGACTAGAGAATACAATTGTGACCTTATAAACACCAATGAACTCATCTCTGTGTTCGTTTCTTATTTCTAAATGCAGATATTTCTATTTTGAGGAGGTCGATAACAAGAAACTCAAAAGATATAATTTGTGTTTGTTTATGACAAGAGATTCTATTATAGTGAAGGGATGAGTAGCATTATACAGAGAAGAGGAAATGGGACAAGTTCTCAGAAAAGAGAAGAGTGAAGTTAAAGAAGAAATGAGGTTCAGAGCACACACACAAAGCATTTGTCTTCTGGATATGAGCCTTCTGCTCTTTAATTCCCTTCAATTTTTAATTATTTCAGTTCTATTAAGTTTATAATTAACAAATAAAATTGTTTTTAAGGAGTACAACCTGATAATTTGACATATGTGAAAATTGTGACATGATTACCATAATCAAAGTAATTAACACATTCATTACCTTATATAATTTTGGGGGAAGGGGTAAAACTATTAAGATCTACTCTTTTAGCAGATTTCAGGTGTACAGTGCAATACAATCTTATTCATTCTAGCCACCATGCTGTACATGAGGTCCTCAGAACATGGTCATCTTATAACTGAATTTTTGTGCTCTTTGACCAACATCTCACCATCCTCCGCTTTTCAACCTCCAGAAACCATTCCCCTCTCTGCTTCTGTAAGTTCGAACTTTTTTTAGATTCCATATATGAATGAGATATTATTTGTCTTTCATTGCCTCGCTTATTTCACTTAGCATAAAATCCTCTAGTTTTGTCTGTGCTATTGGAAATATCAGAATATCCTTTTTTCACAGCTTAATAATATTCCATTGTCTATATATACCACATTGTTCTTGTTCCTTCATTTTTCCCCAGGCACTTAGGTTGCTTTCCATATTGTGATTATTGTGAATAATGCTGCAATAATGGTAGTACAGATATCTCTTCAACATACTGGTTTTGTTTTCTTTGAATGTATATTCTGAAGTGGCATTGCTAGATCACATGGTAGTTTTGGTTTGTTTTTCAAAATGGTTTAGGAACCTCCATACTGGTTTTCATAATGGCTGCATCAATTTCCAATTCTACCAATAGTGTGTGAGAGTTCCCTTTTCTTCACATTCTTGCCAACATTTGTTATCTCTCATCTTTTATAATAGTCATCTTAAAAAGTATAAGGTAATATTTCATTGTGATTTTGATTTGCATTTCCAGGATGATTAGATTCTAGGAATTAGAAATTATCTCTTATGTAAAAGAAAATGTTAGTTTTGCAGTTTTAGACTTCACAAAATTTAAGTTTAGCTTCCCCTCTTTTTAAAATTGGGTAGTCTGTCTGCTATAGTTTGAACGTATAACACAAAAGTTCATATGTTGAAAACTTAATTGTATTGTAATACTCTTGGGAGGTCGGTTTATAAAGCAGTGATTAGGACATGAGGGATCTGCCTTTGCAGATAGATTAATGCCATTATCATGAGAATGGCTTCCTCAAAATAAGTTTGAGTTCAACGCCCTTTCCTCTCTGTCTCACTTGCTCACCTCTGTCTACCACCTTCTGCCATGGGGTGACCTTCAGCATAAGCCAACACCATGCTCTTGGACTTCCCAGTCTCCATAGATGTCAGCCAATTAGACTTCTGTTGTTTATAAATTACCCAGTCTGTTGAATTGTTATAACAGCAGAAAGTAGACTGAGACTATACCTCATACAACTTTTTAAAAATATACACTGCCTTACATATAAATATTGTCATTTTTTGATTAACTGTGCTTGATTTGATGGCTTTGAAAACATTTTATTATTTAAAAATTTTACTTATACTACATCTATGCATTTTATCATCTATATTTCTTTTTTTAAATAACTGTACCATGGGATATGATCTCTTTGGTTGGATGCAGGCACACATTAAGTCAAAGAGGTTTTAGAGGTGAGCAAGGATTCTATAGAACAAAATTTTATAATATTAAATAATACAATTAACCATTAGTATTCAACTTGAAAATGCATTTGTCACTCCCATATATAATTCATGAATACAAACATTTCCTGATAAGCCATTATATTTGTCCATTTTCAAAATGCTAATAAAGACATACCAAGGCTGGGTAATTTATATAAAGGAGAGAGGTTTAATTGATTCACAGTTTCATCTGGCTGGGGAGTCCTCACAATCATGGCAGAAAGCAAATGAGGAGCAAAGTCATGTCTTACATGGTGGCAGGCAAGAGAGCTTGTGCAAGGGAACTCCTATTTATAAAACCATCAGATATTGTGAGACTTACTTGCTGTCATGGGAGCAGTATAGGGGAAACTGCCCTATGATTCAATTATCTTCATCTGGTCTGTCCCTCGACACATGATGATTATTACAATTACAATTCTAGGTGAGATGTAGGTAGGGACACAGCCAAATCATGTCATTCTGCCCCTTGCTCCTCCCAAATCTCCTGTCCTCATATTTCAAAACGAATTATGCCTTCCCAAATGTCCCCTGAGGTCTTAACTCATTTCAGCATTAACTCAAAAGTCCACAGTCCAAAGTCTTATCTGAGACAAGGCAAGTCCCTTCTGCCTATGAGCCTGTAAAATCAAAATCATGTTAGATACTTCCTAGATATCATGGGGGTACCAGCATTAAGTAAATATGCCCATTCTAAATGGGAGAAATTGGCCAAAACGAAGGGACTACAGGCCCCAAGCACATCCAAAATCCAGGGGGGCAGGAAAATCTTACAGCTCCAAAATGATCTCCTTTGACTCCTTGTCTCACATCCAGGTCATGCTGTTGCAAGAGGTGGGCTCCCATGGCCTGCACAGCTCCACCCTGGTGGCTTTGCAGGATACAGCCCCCTCTCCTGGCTAGCTTAACAGGCCAGCACTGAGTGTTTGTGGCTCTTCAAGGCACATGATGCAAGATGTCAGTGGATCTACCATTTTGGGGTCTGGATAACAGTGGCCCTCTTCTCACAGCTCCACTAGGCAGTGTCCCAGTGGGCACTCTGTGTGGGGCCTCCAACTCCACATTTCCCTTCTGCACTGCCCTAGCAGAGGTTCTCCATAAGGGCCCCACCCTGTGCAACAAACCTCTGCCTGTATACCCAGGAATTTCTTTACATCTTCTGAAATCTAGGCAGAGGCTCCCAAATCTCAATTCTTAACTTCTGTGCACTCGCAGGCTAAACACCACATGGAAGCTGCCAAGGCTTGGGATTTGCACACACTGAAGCCAAGGCCCAGCTGTATCTTGGCCCTTTAAGCATGGCTAGAGCAGCTCAGAGGCAGGACACCAAGTCCCTAGGCTGCATATAGCAGGGAGATCCCATGAAACCATGTTTTCTTCCTAAGCTTCTGAGCCTGTTCTGGGAGGAGCTGCCTAAAAGAGTCATTTTCCCCATTGTCTTGGTGATTAACATTTGACTTCTCATTAGTAATGCAAATTTATTCAGCTGGTTTAAATTTCTCTCCAGAAAATTGTTTTTTCTTTTCTTTTACATTGTCAGGCTGCAAATTTTCCAAATTTTATGCTCTACTTTCTTTTGAATGGTTTTGTTGCTTAGAAGTTTCTTCTGCAGATACCCTAAATCATCTCTCTCAAGTTCAAAGTTCCACAGATATCTAGGGCAGTGGCAAAATGCCACCAGTCTCTTTGCATAGCAAGAGTGACCTTTACATCAGTTCCCAAGTTCCTCATCTCTATCTGTGACCACCTCAGCCTGGATTTATCATCCATATCACTAATAGCATTTTTATCAAAGTCATTC